ATACGAATGAGACTGAAGGGTAAGTTTTATAGGACAATGGTGAGATCAGCTCTGCCCTATGAGGTGAAATGTTGAGCGAACAAAAAACAATATACCCATAGAATGAATGTAGCGGAGATGAGGACGTTGAGTTGTATGAGTGGTAAGACAAGAAGGGATGGAATTAGCAATTACCCTATTTGAGAGAATTTAGACGTGATACCAATAGATGAAAAAATGAGAGATAGTCGACTTAAATGGGCTGGCAATATGTGGCACCGACCAAGTACAACACTTGTTTGTAGGTACGAATTAATTCAAGTGGAAAAACCGAAAAGGGCAAGGGGTATACCCAAAAAGACATGGTTGGAAATAGTCCGAAAAAATATGAGAACTTATGGCCTCACTAAGGATATGTCATTTAATAAAGCATAATGGATAACCAAGATTCATGTAGCCGACCTCAATTAATGGGAAAAAAGCTAAAATAATGATGATGATCTAATAGGTCTGCATGTAAAGATTGATCCAATATATTCTCTCTTCTAAAACTCTCTACGATAAAAAAAATGCCAATTTAAGATTGAAATTTTATTCTAAGGCCTAATATTTCGTACATGTACAAGACACGTATATATCACTAGTATATAAGTGGAGGGTGGGACGTCATGTTGAGGTATCCACTACCATATACATGCAAGTAGAGGGTGAGACATTATGTTGAGGCATCCACCCCATATATATATACAATTGGAAGTGGTACATTATGTTTGAGGCATTCACCCTCTTAACACATGTACCCCACCCCGTTCTTTTTGAAAAGAAAAAAGTCTATACTCTCAAAGGGAGCATTTCATCTATCTACTAATACTCAATCGTGGAGTATTTTTAGGCGATTTTTACAAATGTTACCTCCTCATCCTAGCTACCAACTTCAAAAAATAAGAATAAAAGGAAAAAAATTTAAACGTATTCCATACGTGCCTAAATGAAATAAGAAGAAAAGGAAAAAAAGTTAGTGTATTCTATATGTGCCTAAAAGATAATAATGTACGCGTAAGTGGTTGAGAGCTGAAGTAACTTCGCACCCACCATTCCCACCATTAACATGTCAAAATTAAATAAATAAATAAGGACAATGTGAATAGAGCCGTAATGGATAAAATTAATTGACCAAATAACATACTGCCTCCTCACTCGTTCCTAATGTGAGACCCATAATTAATAGTTCGAGCATTTATTGACAAAATTGTTTTAAAATATTTTATTGATATTTTCTCGAAATGGAAAAGAAGAGGCTAGAATGATGATATTGATGATGATGACGATAGAAAGGAAGAGGCTAGCCAGACCGATGCTTTGGCCGGTCTAGACCAAAGTAAAAATCAAGACTAGTTGAAAACTAGTGAAAACCAATGTTTTACATGCTTTGACTAGTCTGACTAGCCGATGTTCGACCAAGTAAATAAAAATTTAGTATATTTTATAAAGGGAAATGACCTTGTGAGACCCTCCTACACCTATGTGTGTAGAACCTCAAAAGATCGCCATTAAATTTGACACAGATCTCTAGAAAAGTCAAGTCCTACACCCATGTGATAACTTTTCTAAATATCTTTGTCAAATTTAATGGTGATCCTTTGGAGTCCTACACACATAGGTGTGAGAGGGTCTCATATGATCATTACTCTTTTATCTATTTAAATTATTATATCGAACTTTCATTCTCCACTAAATTGGGAAAAGGTTATGATGATGATCAAACTTTCTTCTGCTTTTTTAAAAAAAATTAGTCTAACTTATTCACCCAATGGTTGGACTTGTTTTGACCATACCATAGTTATAAAGACAAGACCAAATCAGTTGTCTGAGCAGTCAGACGGTTAACCAATGCCTTGGTCGGTCTAGTCCAAGGTAAAAACTAAGTTTGATTGTAATCAGTTTTGTCCTGTCCAACCAGCCAGTTTTGACCAGTTTAACCAGCTATAAAAAGTTAGAATTGTTTTAAATATATTTTAGATTTTTAAAGTATTATATTGAACTTTTTTCTACTTTTCTAAAAATTTGTCCAACCGATTCGACCAATAGTTTGACCTATTTTAACTGGTAAAACCTTCACAGGCTCAGTGGCTGGTCTGATCCTGATGACACCAAACTGAACCAAAATTCTTACTGGTTTTATGGCTAGTCTGATCCTAATACATTAAACTAGACTAGAATCTTCACCAGTTCAATGGCCGGTCCGATCTTGATAATATTGATCGTAACACACAAGAACAACTATTTAAGATTCAAAAGGATGTCACCAATGCTTTTCGTGCTAAATAAAAAAAACATTTCTGAATATTTTATGATCTTGCGGAAGTATTTCTTCTATTTAAAATTAAACTCAATCAAGGAGTATTTTTAGGCCTTTAAAATTTTGGGGATGTGATCTTTTCAACCTAGTGAGTAAAACAAAGAAAGCAAAAGAAATTTTTAATATATGTAAATGAACAAAATAACATCTTAAGATTGAATATAAGACCATCGAATTTCTGGATAGTTAGATCTAAGTGTTTAAAATATCTAATTTTTTAAAAATAATTATTCAGTGATCCTAAGTAGGTCTCAAATTTTCATATTAAAAGAAATCCTCTTAAACAACTATTTTGCCTGAGGGAGTAAGTCTACACTAATGCCCCCATTGGGAACATGCTACACAAGCTCAAAAAAGATCAGGTGGTTTAATGGGGGTCCAAACCAATCCTCATGAGAGTAAAACAAAACATTTCCTAATAAAAGTTTAAGTGAAAATGTCATTGGGCTCAGTAGAAAATGGATGGCCAAACCAACCCCCTTCAAAACTAAAACCCTTCCATATAAGATTTTAGATGAAATTAACATTGGTTAGATTAGACTATTAGAGTATAATCCAATTAAAGATACTTGTTGCATGCCATTTGGTAGTTTTAATGAAATTGATCTGCACCATCAATGGTCACGATGGTCGAGATCTGGGATATTGTAAGGTAGATGGACGGAGTAGATTTTCCCGCCGCACTGCACCATTCTGCTTTGAGGAAAGCCAAAAAATAATCTACTCCCTCGGGAGTATACTGTCTATTTACTCTCTCAGGTGAAAGCCCTCCAGGATTAGTTTTATCCATTAGGTGCCCAAATGCTGAGCAATAGAACCTCTTTAATACATAGATTAACCTCAAGAAAGAATAGAACCTCTTTAATACATAGATTAACCTCAAGAAAGAAAATCTTAATTGCACCCTCTAAGCAAAATAATAATGTCTCAAAATTAAATGGAAACCGTTCAATTTTTAGAGGGTGAGATCTAAGGGGTACTTGGAAATACATTTTCAGAAATGTATTTCAGTGGAAATAACACATTTCTAATGTTTGGATTGAAATTTTGGAACTGAAGTGTATTTCTGCCCGTAATTGTTTTCTTCATTTCAACCCAAAAATAAGTAATCTATATCATAGTCTTTACCCTTCGAAATTGATTTCCAACTAGATTTCCTCTTTCTAGGGACATCCAGTTTATAAAATATAATTAGAGAGATATACTATCTCAAATTTTACATTTTAGAGAAAATATATCTTAAAATTTTAGAGAGATAAACTATTTCTAATTTTAGAGAAGGAAACTATCAAAAAATTTTAGAAATAAATTATCTCAAAATTTTTATAGAGAGAAACCATTTCAAATTTTAAATTTTAAAGAGAAAATCTTAAAATTTTAGAAAGAGAAACTATATCAAATTTTAGAGAGAGAAGTATGTAAAAAAATTTAGAGAGAGAAACTATCTCAAAAAATTTAGAGAAAAACAATCTCAAAGTTTAAATTTTAAGTTTTAGAGAGAGAAAGTACTTAAAAATTATTAGAGAGAGAAAGTACTTGAAAATTATTAGAGAGAGAAACTATATTGAATTTTTTAGAGAGATAAACTATCTAAAATTTTAAATTTTATAAAGAGAAAGTACCTGGAAATTCTTAGAAAGAGAAATTGTATCAAATTATAAGTTTTAGAGAGATGAAGCACTAAAAACGTTTAAAGAGAAAAACAATCTAAAAAATTTTTAAAAAATACACTATCTCAAAGTTTAAGTTTTAGATAGAGAAAGCATCTTAAACTTTTAGAAAGAAAAACAATATCAAATTTTAGAGAGATAAACTATCTCAAATTTATCAAATTTTAGAGAGAGAAACTATCTCAAATAGTTTTAGAGAGAGAGCACGTGCTTGAAATTTTTTAGAAAGAAAAACTATCTTAAATGTTAAGTTCTAAAAAGCGAAAGTACTTCAAAATTTTAGAGAGAGAAAATATCTCTAAACTTTTAGAGAGAGAAACTATATCAAAAATTATAAAGAAAGAAATAATCTCAATTTTTAAGTTTTAGATAGACAGAGTATTTGAAAATTTTTAGAATGAGAAACTATCTCTAATTTTTAGAAAGAGAAACTATATCAAATTTTAAATTTTATAGAGAGAGAGTATCCTAAAATTTTAAGAGAGAGAAACTCAAAATTTTTATAAAAAAAAACTATCTAATATTTCATAGGAAATCCATAAGCCAAAATCCATTTCGTAGGAAATACTTTTCTTGAAATGTATTCCAATGGAAAAAGATTACGTAGAGTAAACTATTTCCATTTAAAACGGTCACTAAGCGTTTGAAAAATTAAATTTCAAAACATGCCAAAATTTTCAGCAGAAATCGATCACGACTTTGCCAAAATTTTCAGCAGAAATGGATCATGACTTTGCCAAAAGTTTGACGAAAGTGGGGCATTTCAGAACCAAAATTGTGATAAAATATTGGCATTATAAGACTACCCATTGTCATGGCTAGTCTTTCTCCGAATACTAGTTCATTAGACGACAAACTCACTTGTATTCAGCTACCAATTAGTCAAAAGATTGATTTCAGAGATTCTCTCTCTTCAAAGCTTCAACATGAGCTGAGAACGACCAATTGTCTCCTCATCCCCATTATAAATTTGCCCACCACGTGATCCATTCTCTCTCTATCTCCCCCCCCCCCCTCTCTCGCTCTAGTTTCAGCAGTTGGAGAAGAAGGGAATGGAAGACCAGGAGAATGGCCTGCAGAAGGAGAGAAGTCCAAAGGCACTTAGCATCGAACCTGGCTTAAGCACTGCTCATACAATTGATCAGGGTATTTGTTCTGTATCAGTCATTTTTCTTCAAACTACCTGTTTTCATTTTGTTTTTGGTAGTTATCATTAGTGCAGTGGTAAACCAGCTAGAAAAGAGAGCTTTCTATCTAGAAATCAGTTGGTTATCTTTCTTTTTTTGTTTCTTGAAATGGTTTAAACTCCTAAATCTAGTTTTCGAGAAAAGTTATAGGCTGTGATATTCTTTCTTATGATAAATACTCCCAAGCTCTATCAGTTATTAGATAAAAGTTTCATTTAAGATTTCAACTGGGCCTTGTTTTTTTCGGAGACAAGCTTAATTTGAGTTTTAATATGAGTTTGCAGTTCATCAAAAATATTGAAAACCATTCTTTTGACTCATAAGAATTTTGTAGTTTTAAAAGATGCAGAGTGGAAAATATTCACAGAAATAGAGTATCATTGGCTAACCAATTCATGGAAGATTTTAGATATTTCTTTTCTCCTGTTGGCCAAGCAAGTTTAGTTATTCTTTCTTGTTTGGGAATATATGATCTATGACCCAATTCACCGGGGTGAGTTGAAAAGCCATCAGAGCTTTTTGCTTGAGCCCGAATGTCCTCTAAGCACCAGATTAGGCCTTTCAAAGACTAAAGGTTCACCCATCTATATTTATTGACAGATCCATGGATACAAGTGGGGCTTCTTCTTGTCACAAGCTTCAGCTGTGGTTACATGTTGGGCTATTCTAATCTTATTCTAAAGCCTTTAGGGTGGACATGGGGGCTTATCGCTATGCTTATTATCGGATTCTTGGCTCTCTATGCAAACTGGCTCTTGGCTGGGTTTCACGTAATCGATGGACAGAGGTTCATAAGATACAGGGATATGATGGGCTACTTATTTGGTATGTGTAGACGATTTTTCACTGGCTAAACCATGAATTCCAATGACTGGTGATTTGTTTTTCTTAAAAGACATTACCGACTTCCAAATAACATGATTCAACCTCATGTGACATTATCTTTTACAATTCTTTCTTTACAGGAAGAAGAATGTATCATATAACCTGGTCTCTGCAATTTCTAATGTTTCTCCTTGGAAACATGGGTTTTATCCTACTTGCAGGGAGATCTCTAAAGGTAAACTTCTTTTTTTAATTCATTTCTCTCTTTAAGTCGCTTCCATTTTTTGAAATGGGCAAATTTCATAAAGAAATTTCAGGTGTCAATCTTGCAATAGTTAACGGTTTTGAGAATTGACAGGCGATTCATGCTGAGTTTAGTCTCTCCACACTGAGACTTCAAATCTACATCATCATAACCGGGGCTATCTACTTTCTCTTTGCTTTGATGATTCCAAATATGTCAGCCATGAGGCACTGGTTAGGAGTCTCAAGCGTTCTCACTATTACATATGTAGTGATTGTAATGGCAATCTGCGTAAAGGATGGTAACATATCCCTGACAGAGGACCACTTAATATATTGTGCCTTAATTTCCATAGCAAATTTTTTTTTTTTTTTTGGTAATTCAGCGGGGATGACGGCCCCCAATAATTTCCATAGCAAAGTTCAAGAAGCTTAGAGCTCACTCATGAAGCACTTTTACAGGGAAATCTAGTGTGAGTAAGAGTTATGCCATAGAGGGGTCAGGTACAGAGAAATTTTTCAATGCATTCAATGCATTTTCAGCAATTCTTTTTGCTGACACATCGGGCATGCTCCCCGAAATTCAGGTTCAATTTCTTCACTACCAAAAAGACAGGGGATGCAGTACTTTCATCAGCAATTGCCTTTCTCTAATTTACTAATCAAATTAATTTCGTTACTCAATTTATTCTGTAGGCAACACTGCGAAAGCCTGTTGTGAAAAACATGAGAAAGGCACTATGCATGCAATTCACATTAGGTCTGGCAATATACTATGCTGTGACCATTTTAGGATATTGGGCATATGGATCTAATGTCTCTGAGTATCTCCCCAACAATTTCAGTGGACCCAAGTGGGCTGTTATAGTTGCAAATGCAACTGTCTTCTTACAAACAATCGTATCGCAACATGTGAGTCTCTCTCTCTATCTCAAACACACACAAATACACGATTGTACTTCATCTATTAGCATCAATGGTCTTTTTAACACTGCGTTCTAATGACTTTTTATCAGATGTTTTGTACACCAGTACATGAGGCTCTTGATACAAGATTCTTACACTTAGATCAAAGTATGCATTCAAGAGATAACATCAAGATCCTCTTCGTATTGCGTGCTGGCCTTTTCACTCTGAACACATTTATGGCTGCCCTGATTCCTTTCTTGGGAGATTTTGTGAACTTAATCGGTTCTCTCTCTCTTTTCCCCCTCACTTTTGTCTTCCTAAGCATGATCTTCTTGAAGGTAAGAAACCCACCATTTTCTCCCCTTTCATATAAAACACTAAGACAAAGATGAAGCTTTCTTTAGCTGATATCATACAGTTTTCTCTATTAAAATGCTTTGACATGGATTTTATTGCAGGTTCGAGGAAAAACAGCAAATAGTGTGGTGAAAGCATGGCACTGGATCAATATAGTTGGATTCTCTGTTATAACCATACTAACAACTGTAGCGGCTCTTCGATTAATTGTGGAGAATGCAAAGGCTTACAGAATATTTGCAGATAATTAAAACAGAATGCAATTGTTCAAATTGAGATGTATGAACCATGCATTGTTGTCCTATATATCTACCGTCATTTCTATGTACGATCACTCCATGGATAGATTAAAAGAAAACTTTGAGAGTTTTCATTTTATGGAAATGAATAATACTTTACCTCTCTTTATGGGAATGAAATTTTTTTTTTATCTTGGGTGAGTCTATGGGGAGAGGGCCCTAACCTCGGTAGAAATTGAGCCTCAGGCATAGCGTGGCAAATCGTCAAGTGCTAAACACGGTAGAAATTGAGCCTAAGGCGTAGCTTGGCAAACTCGTCAAGGGCTAACCGATGAAGCCGGCTCTTTTCCTTATGGAAATGAAATTTTATATGATACTTTACATGTTTTTTGGTACAAACACTGAGACATGTTTTATGGAAATGAATGATATTTTACACGTATGAGAAAAAAGGAGCAAGAGGAAAGAAGAGAAAAAGTGCATTTTTTTTTCTTTAGCAAGTCAATAAGGAAAGAGCAATTGTCTAATGTGGCCTGGATCCCATTTCTACAATATGTGGTCCAGAGGTATAAAACATCCGCTTTAAAAAAGATGGATATAAATAGGTAGTCCATCAAAGAACAACTACAGGTTCAAGCGTTTTTTTTAATATAATTATTATTTTTAGTTTTTTATTTTTTGTTTTCTGATATTCATGATCGCCATGTTAAAGATTATATATTATCTAAATATTAGGATCAAATTATATTTAAAACTGATAGTTATTGCCATGCCCGCATTTCTACATATGCGAGCTTGGCCGCATGCTAACGGTGTCCATAATAAATGGCTAATTCAATTATTATTATCTTTAAGAAAAGCCAAGCCAATTTCTTAACTTACTTGGTAGTAGACAATGTAGCCCAACTTAAATGCAGCTGAAGCTCGTATTAGGCACTTTAAGGTCATTGTCGCTTGGTCGTGAGAGGACTCACGTATTGACTGTGACTACAACTTAAATGTTTTGTTGGTCCTCTAATAAGTCAAAAGTGTTTCAAACCGGATAGGAGGGGCAGATCATTCACCCACATATTCGTGTGGGGCGTTGGATCGGCGGTCCATATTGAATATAGATCGGGTCTCGGTTAGTTTGAAATCGATAATCTAAAAAATATTAAAAATAAATAAAATATATTAAATTAAATTAAAAGTTTATAAGGTGGGATTTAGAGTGGATTTAATAAAAAATTAAATGAGCCTAAATAAAAGAAAATATATATATATATATGGGGATTAGGCGAGAACTATGTCAGGACCTCTACCCACAATCTAGATAAAAAAGCGTTGGGTGTTAAAACACTGATTAAAATCATTCATAAATAAGATGCACCAAATGCTTGTGCTAAAACCTAATCCATAATTTATTGAAAAAAGCTTACCACTCGATTTTAAAGAAGAATTGAGAAACTAAGAAAGATGGAACCAATATCATGGCGCCTCATTGAGGAAAAAATGTTCCAACTGGACAATTTTATTCTTTGAAAATGACTCTTCTTCACCATCAATCTTCTCTCTCCCCTAGAAACTACATGCCTTCTTTATCTCATGTGAACCCTCACTTATCTCTCTTCTCATTAATTTTCAAGAAATTTTTTCTTTGGGAGCAAATTGGTATTTTTTTCACAAACCTAGCACCATTGTGGCCTCGTATTAGGCGGTTTTCGTCAGCATTTCTTCGCAGCGATGGTTTTGATCGATGGTGATGAAGAGATGAGTCGATTGATAGCGGTACTGTGGTAGAAAATATCTATTTGACCTTGCTTTGGTATTTTATAAGATAATCTCTACCAAATCCGAAACTTGTAAATTTCTTCACATCCTTGTCCCTTGTGTGTCGATGTAGCCTATTTTATTTGTGGTTTGGAGACTTTCTATATTATTTATTTTGTCTTGTTTTTATTTTTTTTCAAATATATTACACATATTATTGTTATTGAGTATTTTGTTTAGGTATTAAATTCATTGTTGTATGGTGCTTATCACATTAAATGGAGATTTAGGTTATCCCGATTTTCCCACCGTCATGATCAATTTGAGGTTTTTCGGCACCAGAACAACCATTTCTTATGGGCTTTTGAGTTTTGTTACTTCAACGATATAAAATTGACGCCTTGTATAAATTTTTTAAAATATGCAAAACCATTTTGGTTTCCTCCCTTGGAAAGTTGAGATGGTCTAGTGTGGGTCCCAGGGCTTAATTTAGCCCATCATAGACCATAATTTTCTCACTTTGTTGAACAAATCTTGATTCTTTCATTTTCATTGAATTTTATTCTGTAATTTTATTGTTTCACTATTTCTTTTTATCATTAACAAGTCACAAATAGAATATTCTTTGAAATTTGTCAACCTGATGAACCACAATATGTAGGTCCCACTATGCAAGGATAGAGAGGTGTCACTGACTCTCTTTTTATAATCATACGCGTAGTTCATAGAAAAAAAAAACAAAGCCCTTGACTCAACTTTCTTTACGAACTCCCTGCAACCAATTTTTTAGGGAACAGTTTTTATGTTTCCCCAGTAAATGAGCCACTAATCATTTAATTTAGATCCGATATCTCAAAGTATTTTATTTTTCATATTTTTATATTAACTATATAAATATTAAATTTGTACTTGCTATCACCTCAATGGGGCATACCTAAATAAGATATTTCAAAAAAAATTTAATAAAATAAAATGCCCAAAATACCTTAGAACTTTTACTGGAATTTTAGCCATTTTATTTTATTAGAAGTATTTTTTTAATATTTTTATAGGTGTGAGTTCAAGAGAGAATTGGATACCCAAATTTTGGTGTCAAAATGTTTTGTATAAAAAAAAATTCAAAAAAAATTTGTATCGAAGGTGACATTATGATTGGGGCCATCTAAGCCGTCTATTTAGAATGGATGGTTGGATAGGGGGAAGTATTATAAGTTTTATATTGTAGGGGAAGCATAAAAAGCCTGCCCGTTTTTTTATGGTAACTTTTATCCCAAAATAAATTTTTCTAACAAATACCCTCACAGTCAAAAAGTCATAGTGTTTAGGATTATAATGACCTCTCTCACTCTAACTCCTACGATTTAACTTTTCCTATAACACACAAAAAGGCAGTCCGGAAGTATAAACAAGAGGTTAGGGTTGGCAATGGACCCAGACTCGGTAGGTATAACCGACACGGATTTGGGTATGGGTCCAACATTTAAACCCGTGACTTAGGTCAGGGTCCAAAACCTAGACCCGAACACTATTTAGGTATGGGTTTGGGTCCGGTTGTATCCGACCCATACCCATAAACTGTTGAAGATAAAATACTTCAAGCCCTGATCGTTTGCGTCTATTAAAGATCATATACAATAAAAATTCGTAGACATATTTAGCTATTAAATGACAAACGAACTACTTGAAATCAAAGGGCAAGTGATTGTGACTTGTTGCGAATAATATGGGTATATGATAGTTAAGAAAACCCAAAAAACAAAAAAGCCCATAGTGATGGTGGCAATGGATCCAACCAGACCCGAAGACCTTAAGAGATAGACCCGAGAGCCGACTGATACGGGTACTAAATTGTCAAAAAAGTTGTTGAAGGAGAGATCCAGGCTCTGTAGGCCAGTCATGGAGCCTAATATCACCGGAAATCCATTTCTCGAAACATTGAACATAACGAGAGGGATTTGAGCGAGTTCAGGTGGGAGATGGCCGGAGAAGGTGTTGGATCCGAGATGGATAAGGCAGAGCTTCTTAATATTTCCGACCGTCGTGGGAATCGTCCAACTTTCTCTCACTGCCGTACCCTGTGCTTTTATGATCTGCTTTTCCCATTCATCTCATCAGCTTTCTTTCTCCTCTGCATCTCCATTCTCCAAGACGCCTTTGTGCTCTGAGGAAAACTCCATGGCTGAAATCCTCCGTGACTTCTTCGCCAGAGTTCAGGAATTCATACGAGAATAATCATGAAACATGTGAGAGAAACTGAAAAACTTGAGAGATCGGGGGAGAAGATGTGAGAGAAATTAAACCTCAGAGAAGAAAATAGAGAGTGAGAGCAAAAAAATGGTGCTCGCATGTTCTGGAAAGCCAAAAAAAAATAATTATCCATACTTTAAGCACGAAACTGCAAATTCGCTCGAATATAAAAGGATGCTTGTGTTTGGTGTTTGCGTTGCTGGACACGCGCTAATTTAGAGAAAAAAAAAATTACACGGAAGGAGGTGATGCTCATAATTTTGAGCAAATAAATCCTCATTTGATAATTGTTAGTATCCATACTTAATTTGCTCTTTATTAAAACTCAATCGGATAGTATTTTTACGTCCCTATATTTTTAGAAATTCAAACTTGTCATCCGTGTGACTTAGAAAAATGAAAAAGAAAAAAATGAAAAATGAAAAGAAAAAAAAAGAAAAATGAAAAGAAAATGAAAACTTTTAAGCGCATTCTATATGTGCATAAAAGGTCATGTCCTAAGGGAATGGGGTTAGGGCATCAGTCGTTTGGAAGCCGATGCCTCAACATAGTATCCGACCCTCCATTCCCACCGTTAAAACCAGTGTTTAAAAAAACGCCGAGTTGAACCGGACTCGCCCGGTTCGACTCGAGAATCGCAATAGACGGATCAAATCGGCGAAAAAAACGGGAATCGTCCGGTTCTAGAGAGAACCGGACGATTCTGTATAGTGACTCGCCGATTCATTGTGCGGAATCAGCGAGTCCCGTATGGTTAATTTTTTTTTTTTTTTTTTTTTTTTTTTTTTTTTTTTTTTTTTTTTTGTTAATCCATGATAGAATTTTTTGTAATACTTGATTCAATTTTTTGTAATCCATGATCGTTAATTGTTTTTTTTTTTTTTGTTAATCCTAAGATTCGTTAATTTTTTTGTTTTTTTTTTGTTTTTGTAACCCATGATTAGAATTTTTTGTAATCCATGTAACGTT